GATATTAAAGCCTTATTAAATGTAACATTGGCAAATATGTGCTCCCATGCAGTGGGCTCTCTTGTTATTTTGTTGATGGTTTCTTTTGCTGTGCAGCAGTTTTTAATTTTGATGTTCCACTTGTTTATTTTCTCCTTAGTTTCCATTGCCCTAAGAGATGTATCAGTAAAGATATTGCTACTACAAATGTCTGCTATTTTGCTGCCTTTGGCTTCTTCTAAGATTTTTATGGTTTCTAGTCTTATATTTAAGTCCTTAACCATTTTGAGTTTATTTTTGTGTATGGTGTGAGTTGGTGGTCCAGTTTCTTTTTTTTTTTTTGCACTTATCTGTCCAGTTTTCCCAGAACCCTTTTATTGAAGAGACTGTCTTGACTCCATTGTGTGCGCTTGCCTCCTTTGTAAAATATTAATTGAGCATAATGGCTTGTGTGAATTTATGGGTTCTCTGTTCTGTTCCACTGGTATATATGTCTGTTCTTGTGCCAGTACACGGCAGTTTTGTAGTATAGCTTGATATCTAGTATTGTGATCCCCCTAACTTTGTTTTTCTTTCTCAAGATTGTTGCAGCTATTTGGGGTCTTTTTTTATTCCATATTTTTGGAGAGTTTGTTCTAGGTCTTTGAAGTATGCCGTTGGTATTTTAATGGGAATTGCATTGAGTTTATAGATTGCTTTAGGTAGTATGGACATCTTAATGATGTTGATTCTACCAATCCATGAACATGGTATATTCTTCCATTTGTTTATGTCTTCCTCTATCTCTATCTTCAGCATCCTGTAATTTTCTGAGTACAGGTCCTTTACCTCCTGGGTTAAATTTATTCCTAGGTATCTTAACGTTTTTTGTTGCAATGGTAAATAGGATTTTCTTTTTTAGTTACTCTTTCTGTGAGTTCATTATTGGTGTATAAAAAAGCCATAGACCTCTGGGTGTTAATTTTGTATCCTGCTACATTGCTGAGTTCATTTATTAAGTCTAGTAGTTTTTTTATTGAGTATTTAGGGTTTTCTATGTACAATATCATGTCATATGCGAATTATGACAATTTTACTTCTTTCCAATTTGGATGCCTTTTATTTCTCCTTCTTGTCTGATCGCCATGCTAATACTTCCAGTACTATGTCGAACAGGAGTGGTGAGAGTGGGCATCCCTATCTCGTTCCTGTTCTTAGGGGAAATTGTTTAGTTTTTGCCCATTGATCCTTTGCGTTTTTTCAGCCCAGGAACCTGACTTGCTTCATAGCCAGGTGCAAACA